CTTAGACGTAATTATTACTTATAAATAAAATCATTAAACTAGTTTTTTAGAATATTATATATTTTATGGTTATAGATATGAAATCATAATAAAAAAGAATAATGTATTTGTTGGTACGGGGCTTTTTTTTCCTAAATTCTTTTTGAAAGTACCATCAAATTAGGCATGCAAAAACACACATTATTGAAAAAAAAAAATTCCAAAAAATCGCTTGTATCTCCACTGCATTTATGCCATTTTTAATTGTTATATTAATTTCTGCCTAGCAAACTTAAATGAATTAAATAATGTAGTATTCAATTACCAAAATTGTGTACGTATGAAAATCGTCCAGAAGAAAGCAGTAAAGAGGTTAAAAAATAAAATAAAATATGTACCTCTGTCCACGACCAGTAATGTAAGTACACAAATTTAACACCATCCATTAAATTGACCCAGTTGTAACATAAATTTTTTTTGGAGTAGGCAGTAAATGAAATAGCAAACGCCTTAAAAGAATTATATAACGATGGACATGTATTTGTTAACATTGACATGATTAATACGGTTCTTCATAAAAATAAATTTTACGCTAATGTACAAGGCCAAATAGAAAGTAACGGTTTTAAAATTCAATCAAATCTCCTTCAAAATTTCATAAATGAACAAAAATCAAGTTCTAAATTAACAACTCAGGTTTTCAATGTCATTAAATCTGAAAAATTAGCAAAAAATTATATTAATAATAAAAAAATAATAATAGACGTGTGTACCAAAAACGCACATGTATTAAAAAAAAAAAATAAACTATGTGTATTGAGGTATAAAAAAAAAATTGAAAACATTATAATGTCAAAGCAAATGAGGGCGACAATCGACTACGAAGAAATTAAGTGAGTAAAAAATATAAACACAAAATAAAACAAAATTGTACATTTCAATTCAATGTATTTGCAGGACTTCTAAATATGGCTTTACCAATACTTGTACTAACTACCCCCCAATCGACGTGAAAATGTCAAACGCCTGGTATCCGAAAATCATCAATCCATCATCGGAATTATTCAAAATAATATTAATTCACGAGGTTGATGAGGAGAAGATACATAGCCATATCAATAGAATTCTTCAATTTCCTTTTAGTTCTTCTGTGGTTGATGTCAATTTGTAAGCCTTAATGTTTTTCTTCATACATTCGTACATTCATATAAAAAAACTCATATTTCTGTATTATTAGGAATGCTGAAACAGGAATAAGTTTAATAACATCCATTATTAATCAATACCAGATTGTATGCAAATTAAATTTATTAAACAAATTCAATGAACGATTAAACAGAAATTTAAAAAACGTATACACTCAACATGGTGAATATGTCTATGATACAATTTATTATGAATTCCAAAAATTTTTATACAAAGTTGACAAAAATATATACAGTTTTGAATACCATGATCTGCAGTGAGTGTTATTATTATAACATGTTTGAATAAAATGATATTACATTTAATAAACTGTTCTTTGTTATACAGATTTGAGACCCAAGATATTATGATGGTTGATGTGGGCAATCACCTTGTTAAATTTTATATGGACCCCATAATGTGTCATAAATATTCATACATGGAGACAGTTGTAATTGGATTGATACTAAAAAATCAATTCCTAAATGTAAAAATATAAATATATTATAAATACATATAACAAATATTTGTACATAATATATTTTTTTTTCAGACCAAACAACTGTACGCCAATTTAAAACATTTCTCTACATACTACTCTTTAAACTATGATAATGATTTAAATTTAAAATCCCTTAAAAATACAATAATAACACTAAAGAAAAAAAATATAATTAATTCAACACAAAAACACAATAAATCTGCATTTCACCACTGTATAAACACATCAAACCCCGATATTATTAAATTAAAAAAACCTTTTAATACAAAATATGCTCAACATGAACGAAACTAAATTACAAAAAATAAAAAATAATATTATAAATAAAAGTCCACTTAATATTGAAAAAATGAAAAATCAAAATAAATTACATACAATATATTCTTAACCAATTTACATTAAATCCAAAATCTTTAGGAATATTCATGGACTTGAGCAAAGCATTTGACAGCATCTCACACGACAAACTATTAAGTACCCTACCATCAATAGGTATAGTCAACAAACCTTACAGACTTTTTGAATCCTATTTAACAAAAGTACAAATCGGGCCCGTAGCCACGGGGGGCGTTGCCCCCCCCTAAACCCAGTCATTGCCCCCCCTAAAAAATATTAGAAAGATGTTTAGGTAGGTATGTATTTTATTGCTTATAACATTTTCATCGGTAAAACCACATAACATCAGTGAATATGATGAATATTATAATTATGTTTTGTTTATAATTCCAACAGTTCATAATAAACAATTGACTGTTACAAGTATTAATAGTGTTAATTTACAAGTATAATGGATTTAACACTAAGTAATAGCATTAGGGGAATGACTAATTAAGTTAAATAAAGGTACATAGAAAAGATAAGTTATATCGAATCTAATGATACATATTTTATGTTTTAAGATCCATCTATTGAATGGTCTAACAATTTGGATTTAATACTAGATGTAACATATCTTGACATATTTAATTACCTTGTTTTAACCATAAGTGCTTGCACTTTACAAGAATTTAATGTTCATAAAAATATTGAAGCACATAATTTCTTTGTATGTGGATGGATATCTAATGTAAAATGGGTTGATATTAATAATAATACCCTTGTAGTTTCAGAGGTGAGCTGCTTATGCTTAAAAGCTGCTATTAAAAATATTAATTTTTTCTGCTTTGTCCACTTAATATTGAAAAAATGAAAAATCAAAATAAATTACATACAATATATTCTTAACCAATTTACATTACAAAATTTTCAAATCCCTGCTTCCGATCTGCCAAATTGTTATAACAAAAATATTATCTCCTACAAAACACAAATAAATTCCTTAACTAAATATTTAAAAAACAGCAGCTTTCCACAAAATGTAAAAAATTATTCAACCCAATTATTAACACCCCCAACAACACCGGCAAATCGATCGACAAGGCAAATAACAGAAATAGAAGATACGCCAGTGCGTATAAAACAAAATGTGAAAACCTTTAATAAAAAGTACCTATATGGCTATAAACTTCAGTTAATGTGAATTTTTTTTTTTTTTTCCCCAAATGAGAATGTACAGGTTGGTGGACCTAGTTTAATTTTTTTTTTTCATTTCAGATCAATAAGAACCGACGTATTGAGCAATTTGAGATTGTTTTCCACTTTAACACAATGAAATAAAATAAACTCATGTTTATAAATTAAAACTTACGGTTCATTTCAGCAATAATATCAGCATCACTACCTATCATCATCACTATCATCATCACCAGCATAACCAGTACTGTCACTCGGATACTCTAAAATGTAGAAACAAACCTGTATTAATTATTTAGTTATTAAGACTAACACGCATATAGTATATTACATTTTTTTGACACCATCATCATTATAATCATCATCATTGACCATTTGTTTTGATTCAAATGCCAAACACATTTTCCACTACCCTTCTAGCACGTGAAAGACGATAGTTAAATATAATTTCAGAATTATTAAGTCCACTTTTGCTATATGGCTTCAATAAGTTTGTTCTTAGTGGAAAAGCATCATCCCCGATAATAACACATTTTTCCGGCATCCCGAGGGTATTGTTTTCCAATGCGATATTCAAAGTGCTGTCCCGAAATATTGCACTATCGCTGGCTCGCCCATTTGCTCCGATATCGATGTAAGTACGTAAAACAATAATCACCGTCAACCATTGCAAACAATATAACACTATAGGTTTTCTTATAATTGTAAAATATTGAGCCATAACCAGGAGGTCGTTTAATAATTACATGTTTTCCGTCGATTGCACCGCAACAGATTGGAAAATTCCAACGATGGAAAAATGTATCTTTTATTTTTGCCCATTCATCACACGTAGTGGGTACCTGGGAAATTTAAATTAATTAATTTAAATTCTTAATTGTTTAAATAATATTTATTTTAACTATTATGATATTTTTAATTTATAAGTATAAATATTTATAAAATGTTTGCACTTTTTATGTCGTAAAAAATAGTTTTGATACCTTAAATTTGAAATCAGGAGGGTTCATTATGAACATTAATTAAATGTTGAGCTTTTTAAATAAATATATCTGAATTTTACAAAAAAATTGCTTCAATAAATACTGGTTTAAATGTTTATTTCAGTATTTAATTTAATTTTTTAGAATTTAACCAATATAAGTCAGCATTCTAACGAGGTACCGATCGAAGAAGACATTGATGATAAAGATGAAGATGAACATCAAGATACAACAAGGGAATTGCCTGAAAAAATGAAACCACCACCAAATAAGCCTGTAAAAAAAATCAAAAAACGAGCTGCGCCTGAAATCTCAGATGCAATTGAGCAATTAGATAGAATTGCTCAAAGTGCATCTACAGAACAAGCCTATGATCAATTCGGAAAACATGTTGCGTACGAGCTTCGTCAGTTACCACCACGTCAAGCCATATTGTTGCAGTCCGAATTACAAAGCTGTATCACTCGAATACGTTTATCTTGTTTGGAGCCTGCAGTACATCAACCAGTACATCAACTTTACCATCAACAGGCTTACTCTCAACAATTACATCTGGATATAGTATCACCTTCAACTTCTTCAAGCTCAATGCCTTCTACATCTACTCAAGTTCTAAACGAGGATTATAATGAAGATATTTTAAATCATGCTATAATAAATTCCAATATTTTTTCAAATAATAACTTATAATTTTTATGAATAAACAATTAATTTTAATTTTTTTATATTAACATAAAATTTTGTTTCTACAATTTATCTCAATAATAACATATTATTTACTACATATTTAGTTTTGTATTATTTTATGTAATATCTATTTAAATATTATATTTGTATAACTATACCTTAATAAATGGTTCCAGGACTTGGGATATCGCTGTAAGCACTTCGGGTACAAACAATGAGATTGTACATTCAGGAACACGAAAAAGATATTCTAGGGACTTAAATGAATCACCAGTAGCTAAATAACGCAATGTTACTTCTAGTTTGGTTTTTGGCGGAATAGCCATTCTCATTTGAGTGTCTTCTTTTTTAATTAATTCATAAACCATTTGTAACAAATTATCGAACTGGACCACGTCCATTCTTAGAAGATTTCGGTAGGATGCAGTGTCTTCGTCTTTCAATTCTTTTATTAATGTACTGGATGCGCCATATTTTTCTCGTCTAGCAATCCAATCTCTGACCCAAATTCTTTTTTTATTTTTAGTTTTCTTTTTTTCCAACTCCTGACGCAATAACATAGATATAACAACAACACCTGCGCGAACTACAGCATCTGACATCTTGAAAGTTGCAACCACTACTAGTTACTACTTAAAAGTTAGAAACCAGTTAGAAAATAAGAAATAATATAAATATAATAATATATTATATAAAATAATTAGGCTTCTTACTAGTCGCGAGTACATTAGCGATTTTGCTAGCCACGTCGATTACACAAAGCGATTTCACTCGTCAGAGATTAAAATAGCCAGCGAGTAGTGAAAAAAGTAGCCCGGCCGTCAACTTTAATCGCGGGCGAGCAGCGAGTATTCAACACGCGGCGAGTAAGCGACTACAGCGATTACATTGAGCGACTTTGGTCGCAGCGAGTTAATTCACCGGCGACTAGCGTGTACAACCGCTCAGTGCAATCGAGGCTTTATTTATATTATTGGGTACATAATATTATATTGTGTTAATTTTAATAATAAATTGCGGTTATTACTATAGGTACTTTCTTGAATTATTATTATTTTTATGTTAGGTACCGTATGATTGTCGAAGTCCACTTTTGTTAGCAAAAAGTGTCTTAGCTCGAAATATTAGTGTGACGACACGGACATAATATCACCAGTCACTTGGTACCACGGATAGGTAATGTCTACATTGGTACACCGTCAGTATTGGATTGTGTCGCTGCGTTCCGACATCCACTCTGTCATTAGCCAAAGTACGGGGTTTGTTAGTCTTCGACGTCCATTCCCACGCCGGTCATACCTAACGCGTCGATTACACTGAGCGTATTTACTCGATACTCGCCGGCGAATTAACTCCCTGAGTTAAAGTCGCTCAATGTAATTGGTCTAGTCGCTTACTCGCCGCGTGTTGAATACTCGCTGCTCGCCCGCGATTTAAGTTGACAGCAGGGCTACTTTCGTCGCTAATCGCTGGTGTTTTTACACTCCAGCTAGTAAAATCGCTGAATGTAATCGCCCTAGCTGGCAAAATCGCTAGTGTGGCAGCAAGTAGTGATTGGTCAAAATGTCGGAAGCTGTAGTTCGCGAGAGTTATTCTGATTTTTCATTTATTGCGATAGGAGTTAGAAAAGAAAAAGGATAAAAAGAAAAGATTATGGATCAGAAGTTGGATTTCAAGGCGAGAGAAATATGGTGCATCCAGTACATTACTAAAAGAATTAAGACACGAAGTCTTTACAGCCTACCGAAATATTCTAAGGATGAACGAGTTTGATACATTGTTACAGATGATTGACGGACTAATTAAGAAAGAAGATACTCATATGAGAATGGCAATTAAACTGAAAATAACTTTACGTTATGTAGCTACTGGTGATTCATTCAAATCTTTACAATACCTTTTCCGCGTTCCCGAATGTACAGTTTCAGTATTTTTACCCGATGTACTTACAGCGATTTCTCAAGTGTTGGAACCATTCGTTAAAATTAATATAATTATAATAATAAGGTACTAATAAATAAAGTCAAATTAAACTAAATATCAACAAAATTTTATATTTATTTTTTTAAGTAGATGAGTTTGAGTAGATTATTAAATTGTATAATATAATAATTAATATTAAATTCATACAAATTATTGGTCATTATCTGAAAAAGAATTGATGATAGCTTGGCTTAACATATCGTATTCCTCGTTCGCAAGCGGAGTAGATGTATAATTACTTATTGAACTTGATGAGGGAGAAGGTGATGCGACATTTACATGAAGTTGTTCCATGTATGGTTGTTGATGGTATTGATAAGGTAGAGGCTCCAAAGTAAAAGATAATCTGATCCGAGTTATAATTTTGTATTTCAGACTGTAATAAAATAGCTTGGCGTTGTGGTAGTTGACGAAGCTCGTATGCATCATACTTTCCAAACTGATCATACGCTTTTTCTTCATATGTACTCTGAGCGATTTTGTCTAATTGCTCAATTGCAATTGCTATATCAGGGGCTGTTTGCTTTTTAATTTTTTTCACTGACCCTGGTGGTGGTTTAATTTTGGTAGGCGATGGTCTTGGTCTCCCAATTGTTTCATCTATTTGAAAATCGTTTCTGGATCCCCTTGTTGAACCTTCATTTTAAACATCTTCGGTTGTGTTAGATTCCACCTCATTCGAACATTGACTTGAATTGCTTAAAATCTAAATAATAATAATCAATTTAGATATCAAGACTTTATATTATATATTATGATTCCATCTATATTTATAAAAAAAATTATTATACAATATTAACTTAATTTAAATTTAAAATTCTTAGGTGCCTGCAACTGCTGATGAATGCGGGAAAATAAAGAATACATTTTTTCATCGTTGGAATTTTAAAATGTGTTGTGGCGCAATCGATGGAAAACATGTGATAATTAAACGACCTCCTTGTTCTGGCTCATCATTTTTTAATTATAAAAAAACCTACAGTATTATATTGTTCACAATGGTTGACGGTGATTATTGTTTTACATACATCGATCTAGGAGCTAATGATAGTGCAGTATTTCGAGACAGTACTTTGAATATCGCATTGGAAAATAATACCGTAGGAATGCCCGATAAATGTGTTATTATCGGTGACGATGCATTCCCATTAAGGGGATTCGATACCGTGATTTTCTGTTTTTGTCTAACACACGGGCGACATAGTATTTTAGACGTTTTTTTTGCCAAACATTCCAATTGATCTATTGAAGCGATAAGATTTCTGAAAACAGATTTGAATTTGTCGTCAAGTCTACTTGAAATCGACTTCCCCACCTTTTTTGATTTTTTGATTTTAACTTCTCCAATAATTGAAATACCAGAATTTTTAAATACTCTTTTTGAATATGACATTTTAAAAAATATGGGGGATAATATCAAAAATGTGTTTTTTTTCTATATCAATAAAGTTTTATCTGTTGGGCCAAAAAATGTAAAAATTTAATACAATGCTCCTGATATATTGTTACAATAGAAATTGAAAAATATTAAAAATATATGATTACAAATTTTTACTATAAGCTTTTAAAGTTCGAATTTTGACAAAATTTATTAAATTTAAAATTGACTAATTATTTTGTAGTTAAAAATTTTTAAAATTTTTAACTTTTATATCTAAGGATTGAAAATTTAAAACAAGATTCCATGTAAATAGTTAAATCTGTTACCAAAAAATCCGAAAAATTCACAAGCACAGTTTATTTCTATAGTACTTTTAAGTTCAAATTTGGACGAAATTACATATTAAACAACCTAAAATCGCCATTATACCTAGTTATTTTGTTTTATAAGTAGGGGTATTGTGATATGATTAATTTGGAATTTATTATAGGTACCTATTGTAGGTCAATTTTTTTTAATACCATAGATATGTATATAATATGTCTTAAACCTAGACTGATATACCGTCTCCGCTCAGAATCGTTTTTCTTATACAATGATATTATATCATTGAATTCAAATTTAATATCATCCATTATACAGTGACCCACTTGTAACCTACTGTACAGCAGAGAACCTTTTTCTTTGTAGATTGTAATTTATAGATTACTTGAAGACAAAAATAATAGCACAATTTTTTTTTTTTTATTTAAAAAAATGTATTTATTTATATATATATTATTTATGTATATATTTATCAATCTTGTAAAAAGATACTTTTAATTTGTATTTAAATAGAGATACAAATACATCAACTTAAAAAGTATTTAAATAGTATTTAAAGTACTTTTTTTAATAAGTATTTAAGAACAAATACAAATACTTAGAAAGTATTTAAACACAAATACTTATTTTAATACATTTGTTTTAAGTTTTACCTTTGGGTTCAATACTTTTTCTCTGATATTTTAACTTTAAATTTGACCATGAGATCAAACTCGTTCAAACTGTACATATTAATTATTATTATATAGTTAATACTTAATAGTTCAATAGTTCATATATTATAATGCATGCTCCATATTCTGGTACTAACCAAGGTACCTATAATTGTATGATAAGTTAATAATCACCGAATGATCGTTTTAATTATTTATTGTATGAGAACTAAATAGATATTATAAGAACCTTTATTTCCACAATAGGTTCTAGCTTCTGGAGAAAATAATTTATATATAAATGCTATATTTCTGTAGTGAAAATATTTGTATTAATGAATATATTACGTATGTATACTATTCAATTATTCAACAGGAAAAAAAATAAAAATAAAAACAAAAATTAATACCAAAAGTCTTTATTGGATTTTAAAATCATAATCTTTTCAAAATTGTCATCATTCATTTTGCCTCTTTTTTGGACAGCACAGCACCTACGCAAAATACGCTCCCGGCCGGACTTTTTTGCCGAATTTTTTCGTTTTCTCTGCCAGTTTCGTCTTTTCGCATGCCGTTCGTGGATCTAACATCATGTTGGTTTATGGGCTCGTTTTAGATTCAGACTTCATAGATCATAGGTAAACGTAAAGTCGTAAACCAAAGCTGATCGAGTTTCACTTCATTATTGTTCTATGTTTACAGTTTGGAGTTTCAAATAATTCACATCACAATAAACTAATATAGGCTTCAATGAAAAAAAAAAAAACAATAATATTTTGCATTTTAGGAGGCTATGTCGGGAATAAACTTACAAAATTTCAATGATATTACTCATGACTATATTATTTAGTCATGATATTACTTTGATTTCCGAGAAAAAAGATAATAAATAATCATTTATTATTGAAAAAAAATCGGTAAAGTATTTAAATAAAAGTATTTGATTTTCATATACAAATACGTCCAAAACCGTATTTAAAATACTTTCCAAATACTTTATTCAAAAAGTATTTAAAAAGTATTCTAAATACAATAAAAGTATTTAAATACATTTACTCAAATACTTTTACTCAAATACTTTACAAGACTGATATTTATTTATATATTTAATTTAAGTTGTTATATTATGTTATCATAGTATTTATCACTTCAGTATCTAGTAAATATATATATAATAATAATAATAATACATTTAAATCCAAAACCACAATTACTGGTTATTCATATTTAACAAAGTTTTTTTTTTAATCTCAACGCCCAATCGGAATGCCTTCATGCGAACTTCATGTTCAGCTCTTTCCCATTCAAATCTTACCGACGACCTTTCCTTTTTCACTTTAATCTAGTTCCTTTTTATACACTTCATTTTTCTTGTTAACATCATTTTGTACCGTTTTCCGCTTCAAAGATACTTTAGTTGAACCACCACGCACATTTTTTTTTTTTTAAACTATTAATGCCTCAGATATTGGTTTACATAAGGCTGTTGGTGTCCAACTATCCCAGTTTGTTTCATAACTAAGTGTGGCTTGGGTAATCCTAAACCATCATTTAAATTATTTGACTTTTCTTTATTATACACCTACAACATAATTCACAAAAATAAAGATTTATACCTATATCAGTACCTACATACATAATTTATTGATATAAATCCGATGTTAATGTAGTCTTATTCATCGAGAGTTGACCCACTCGCTCGACGAAAACTAGTTGCGGCCGCGCCCGTCTTTTTAGCGCTAGTAGCGGCTGCCTACTACAACGAGCACTGCCGATCGATGAACACCACCGACCAATCACAGACCACTGGTTTGAATGTTCCGGCGGCTCAATATACATGAGCGCAAGTGGGTCAACAGTATATCTTCAAATGTTTCGCTTATATTTTCAATTTCATTTCAACATCCATGTTAAGGATGTTTAAATTATTGTCAGAACTGTTATGTTCTTGTACTAATAAAACTTATAGACAAACAAAAATTGACTAAATAATATAATTAATATAATGTAGATAGGTAGCTACTAATTACGAAGTGTATATACATCAGCGTAAGTGGGTCAACTCTCGCTGAATAGAGTATATCTTCAAATGTTTCACTTATATTTTCAATTTCAAGTTGAGATGGTTAACAGTGACAAAATTTGGTCACCGTGACTTTTAATGGTGACTGGTCACCATTTGTTTTGCGTAATATATATTTAAGTTACTCAGTGACCAATAACCATCATAGCTAGAGTTAAATCACGTCGCTGTTTAGTGTGTCACTGCGACAACAGTCTGTTTCACACTACAGTGACTACACCGTGTTTTGTGACTTCGTATGTTGTATGTATATACCAAAATGCAATACCAATGATATGAATATGATGACATTATATTATATTATAGTTATCACTTTTCCGTACATAAATGTAATCACGCGGCACGATGTGCCACACGGTCAAAAGTTGATATTCAATCATGGTCTAGAGATATTATATTCTGACCGCGTATTCAACTTACTATGCAGTATCGTTTGGTAACTATGGTAACTATGGTACCTAACTGTAATTATTATGTGAACCCGGCCTCAGTAATATCAACTATGGTCGGTCCTACCACGTATCTCTGGCTAGTGGCTATGGTAGCCATAGTATGGTTATTGGTTATATAGGTCTAAAATAAGTGAAAAATAGTGGGCAAAGCCCTGTATCACAGTGGAAAAATGAATTGTTTCTGGCCTGATTGCTCACGCTCTCGGTGCTCTCCATAGACATATTAACTAAATGGACTGCGCCTTCTACACCCCCTGCCTACCGAACAAATCAGCCAACATCAGATAAGCAAAAAGGGGTATTGTGGATGAAAAAAATTAATTATATCTTGTTTCTTCCATGTATTATATTTCCCGCCTATCCATTTTAAAAAAACAACCATTTAGAATATATTTTATATTATTGTTATTATATTGTATTTATAATATTAATTATAACATTTATAAAATCTCATAAACACAATTAACTAGGTGGGAATCAACTGGTTAAAAACTCATATTTTCCTAATGTTTTTTATAATATTAATTGAAATAAAAATGAAATATACCTACATAAAATATTAGGCTATCGTGAATATTAGTATTATAATTTTAGTTAAGTCAGTAGTTAATAGTTGAAAAAGTTCATCATCCAATAATGTGTTGAATTAAGTTCTCATAGTTTTTATTTGCGTGTTAAGTCTTCTTTTTTAATCATGTGATGCAATCACTCTATGACAATCTGCATTATTTCAAGTTGTACCTTAATTTATTGTGTGTGTGTGTGTGTGTGTGTGTGTGTGTGTGTGTGTGTGTGTGTGTGTGTGTGTGTGTAATAGACCTATATGACTAAGTGGCAAACAAAGAAACCCATTTTTATACACTAGACAATTATATATTGTTATATTATAAAACACATTATTATAATAGATAATATAAAAAAAAATAGTAAAAATAATAATAATAACAAATATTTTACTTTCATACATGTACATGTTAAATAAATATATGGGACCATCCATTAGCATACAAAATTTAATGTTTATTGGTTTCTGAAATGTACGAGTTTGGTGAACTGAGAACGTATTCTCTCTTTTGGCTGACTTCTTGAGCTGTTAAAATGGTGTATCCGTATATTGAAGTAGGTTTTGAAAATGTCTCTGATTAACTGGATTAAATGATTATTTATTGGTTCTTGATTGTATATGTGGTTAGACATTTTTAAAAAGTATTTATTGATATTTATTTTAGAAAATGATTTGATAATGAATGTTTCTCTGATATTCGTTGCACTGCTGGTTGTATAATATACTGATTGTTGAGTTCGAAATACATTTTCAGCGATTCGACACAGCTCAGTTACATCACTACTTGGCTTAATTAGCCTACCTCGATTTTTTATTGATATTAATGGTGTAGGAGCTGTACTGGATTCAGATAAAACTTGAAGACATTCTGAACATTTTGTCAATTTAGTAATGTTTTTGTTACAGCTCCACCAATGTATTGGGTCGTGTCCATTAAATATGATACATATGGTGAGTTCTTTAAGTCCATATACAAATTAGTATCCTCATCTGTCCCAGCTACACAGGTCAGCTCTAAATGGTTAGAATTTTTTTTTTTTATGAACTACTGGTTGATAATATTACAGTTGTATCTTGTGATATACAATTTGCTTGAGAAGAAGTTACTAATTCATTGTGTATTAGTAATCTTTTGTATGCCGCTTCAAATTGGCTGGCTGTTGGGTTATCACAAAATCCACCACGAGATCTTATAGCGGAAAAAAACATTTCAAGATGGTCTTGAGAAACTTTGTAAGTTAAAATAAATTCTAATTTATTTGATTTTAAAACATCATCAAATAACTCGCCAAGACTTCTGAGGCATACTATTAAGCCATTGAACCCAGTTTTTCTTCCAGAATTTATTATTGGAATAAAATTATGTGATTTTGACACTTTATTATATATTTTGGTCTGTAGGGAAGATAGATATTCAATAGACGAAGAAATGAAAGTCTTAAGAAATAACTCATTATTTAAGTAAAGTGGTCTTTTAAATTGAGTTTTACCCAAAAAATTTCTAGTGTTTAGAATATCAAAAATGTCATTTATTTTCTTGCAAAATTCTGAAGTAGCATTGGTGTTTTGAAAATTAGAAAAATTTTGTTCACTACAATATGTCAGGGCTTTAGCAACAGATTCACTCAATGTTTGAGCCACAAGCTTGATCTTCATTTTTTCTTTGAAAAAATTGATATGTCTTGATCTTATTTTGGTGGCCAAGTGTAGTTCAGCATTTTCTTGTAAAATTATCAACTGCTTAAATAAGTCCCATTTAATCTCTTGTCCATCCTTATTGTACAATGTTTGCCAGTCACCAAGTGTATTCCGACATAGTTTCAACATGTGACATGGATCCAAAAATATAAATATTTTTTCATCAGTGATTGGGTGCAAGATATATGTTTTTACATCTGGAGGATACAGTTTAGCTCCTAATGAAGTAGCCATTGAAATATTTGAGGCTGCTTCATCAAATGTTAAGGTCTTCACAAGAACACCGGTATCGTGGACAATGGTTAAAGCAGTTTTAATTAAATTTGCTTTTTCTTCTCCAGATAAACCATTAAGTAAAAAATTAGCCGATTGGAATTTTCCAATTAGAATTAATAGCAACTAGCATAATGACGAGTGCTTCTTTTGCTAATGGAAGAGCATCAGTATCATCATTTATACCGGTTCCTAAACTTATGTAGCCTTGGTTCCTTGTGCCATTAAAATGTGTACCCTGTTTAATACTGACTTCATCCATCATCATACCACATACTAATATTTTGTTTTTTAATTTCATTTCCGCCACTTTAATTTCTAGAGCATTTATGGATTCTTTGGTAAAGCCAGGTGATCCATTGATTACAGCATACCATTTGCGTAACGTTGATGGATGTGGAAGACAATTGTTAAACACTTGTCTTACATATTTATATGCTGCAGCTGAATAAAAATTAAGTGTTAATGCAAAAGTTCAGGTGAAATTTTCTTTTCAGTGTTACGTTTCAATTGTTTCATAATCATCTCTCTCTGTGCAGTAGGTAGATTCTCCTAAAATAAATCTTAAAATATTGTACAATGTTAACAAAATATTTAATTAATTTGCTATTTCTACCTTAAGGATAGTGAAACAGTTATCAGAAATTTTTTTCTCTTCCTTAAGATGATTAATCAACTGCGATAGATTTTTTATCTTCTTTCTTAGCCATGTATTTTTATTCTGCAGACTTTTTGTTTTTATTTTGAAGTCTCTTACAGTTGCTTGAGATACATTCCAATATCGTTTGCGTTTTGTTGGAGTTCTTAGATCTTCAACATTAAAATCACCAAATAAGCTTTTTCTTTTCCTAGAAAATTTTAAAATTAGTATAACATTTTAATGAAGAATGGCATATTTATTATTTTAATATTAAAATTTATATTTACATAGTGCTGGCCATTTTTTTTGGAGTAACTTGAACATTTTCACTAGGTTCACAAACTAAATCCGGACTGTCATCTATTGTTGGTATAATTTCTTCTACAGCTTCAATGTGAGATAGCCCTGTAATATTCAAACTATCACCTTGGAGATCTGATTGTGATAATGTAATAACACTATAGCTCATATTTTCTGTCGTATCTTGAACAACAATGTGGGATGGTTCATGTGTATTCGAACTATCATATTGTTCTTTGTTGAAAACATAAACACATTCTTCAACATCAAATAATGAGGGTACTGCGCTCTTAATAAGTGAAAAGGATTGAGATCTTGCAGTTTTAATAAAATCAATTTCCCTAAAGTGTTTGCTACACACTAAACTGCTATGGTTAGTTTTAAAATTAGGATAATATGATTTTATACACTTTTCCCATATATTTCTGAGATTTTCGTCAGCTGGAAACCTTTTAACAAAAAACATAAATCTATGACTAACGATACAAGTGAAACATATATATTAATATCTTACTTGTGTAGTTTAATATTGCATTGTTTTGATGAAGCACCTTTACAAAGTGGAATCGAGCAAATCTTAACCATTGTGATATACAACCAAAGACAATAATAACTAAAACTAAATATACTCTACACTAAAAGTAATTAGTACAGTTAAAAATTCAAATATTATGAAGTCAAAATTCAATTATCGCAAAATTAAGGACCTGTCACAACGACAGTAGAACACGTCGAACACGAAGTCACGACTCACGAGGTGATAAATGAAAACAAACAGCGTTATCACTTACTGTTTTTTTATCAGTCGTTATATCCATGGAATAAACGAAGTATATGTAATATTTTCTTCCCTGATACCCCTTTTTGGTTATCTGATGTTGGCTTATTAATTGTTGCCCAAGGCGCAGCCCATTTAGTTAATATGTCTATGGTGCTCTCACTGGAAAAAGTTTTTCTCATTGTGTCTGCCATATCAGCGGTGAATATTATTTACGCTCGATGGTCGTTGTCGGAGGGACAACCCTTGCGTACATCAGGACGATTCTTGTGACTGTCCGGCACGGCTTCACTCTTGCGTACCATGTGGAAAATACCAATTTGGTACATTAATCGGTAAACGGAAAAAAAGTATCCTGCTGCTATTTGAATAAAACGATATTTCCACTATACTTGTTATTTTATTACTAGTTATACCGTTGTAATTTTTTTAATATTAATTCAACTTAGCTACTTTATAACTGTATAAGTAATAACAATATAAAAATATCCACACTTACAAACAGTCACCGCTAAAAATCGTTTTTCGTATTCAATGATATTAGGTATATCATTGAAGTCAAATTTAATATCATCTATTATACAGTGACCCACTTGAAACCTACTGCACAGCAGAGCGACATCCACTTACCCAACTTTTTTTTATTGGAAAATGCATGTTTGACTTGTGACTCAATACTATGATATTATAATAATTTATTTTATTATTTGTTTTTGGTTGTGTACCAGTGTTTTTTTTTGCGATCCCCACAGGCTACATTTACGATACATTGTTGGTACTTTTCTATCGAAATAAAAGTAAAATATCATTATTACTTATTAGTGCTGTGTTATAAATAAGCAATTGAATTCGGAAAATCCTCATAACCTGCATAACTTAATATTCAATTACATATTTTATAGGCATTAGCCACACCTTAATTATACTAATTTAAATCAGTTATCATTCAGTGTTTTAGAACTTTATATAGTGTAGAAGTATCTATTTACTGAGTGATCTTGTTCTATTGTTAATAAGTTAAAAATAATTTTTTCGAAATGAGTAACTCAAGAAAACTCAGAAGTGATATGTGGAGATATTTTACATATGTTGATGAGCATTATGCAAAATGTGACATATGTTAAACTAAAATTTCTCATAAGACAACTATGTCAAATTTAAAAAAGCACATTGAAAGAAAACACCCTTTAATAAATTTACAACCTTTAGTAGATAATGAATTAAACCAACCCAGTACTTCAAATAGTGCACAAGTAATTATAATTAAATTGTCATCACGCAAAAAGTGACCAAGTGAAAATGTTTAAGGTTTTATTTTGAAATTAGTATGACTCCATAATTATTTAATTATTTCAATTTTTCGCTTTCTGCATTTTGGCAACTATGTTATTATTTAAACATGTGAAAATTGGTCAAGTGAAATAATTAAATAATTATGGAGTAATACAAATTTAAAATGAATTATTTAATCATTTCACTTTGTCACTTTTTGCTTGACGACGACTAAGTATAAATTAATTTCCTTTATTTTAATTAATTTGACTGCAGAAACTAGATTAACTTATTGTATTATTGTCTTATATTATGTTAGGCCACTACTCTAGGATTACAATCTATGCCAACTGTAAGTCTACGTCAAGTAAATCCTTCTACATTAATTGTGGAAAAAGATGTTGACAACCCTTCCTCTGAAACCGTAGTCTTCAAATCATATAATTAAAAAATGTAAAACAACAAATACTTTGCTAAATAATATACCAAGAAAAATGACCAATACATATCAAAGTCAGTTGGATGATAGTTTATTAAAATTAATATATTTAGATTGTCAGCCTTTTAGTTTAACTGAAAATGAAGGGCTTAAACAATTTGTTCATTTGTTAAACCCTACTTATAAACTACCAAGTAGGCATAAGCTATCAAAAACCTCATTGCCTTTTGCTTATGAAAAGTTATTTAATGAAACCAAAATAAAAGTTTAGGAAGAAGCTTATCGGTTTGCTTGACCACTGACTGCTGGACTTCTATAAACAATACAAGTTTTTTAGCTGTTACTGCTCATTATGTCGATCTGAATTTCAATTTAAAATCAGTATTACTTCAATGTGCTCCTTTTACTGAAAAACACACAAGTTTGAACTTAAGCATAATTATCCAATTAATTATTGAAGAATGGCAAATAAAGGATAAAATTGTACTTGTAGTGTCTGATAATGATGCTAATATAAAAGGTGCAATAAGTAAACTAGAGTTATAACATTTTGGGTGCTTTGCCCACAGCTTAAATTTGATTGTGCAAGAAGCATTAAAAACACAATCAAATTTAATAAATACTGTGAAGACGTTTGTCGGGCATTTTAAGCGAAGTTCAAATGCTTACCACCAACTGATGCTTTACCAGGAGAACTCGGGGGCAACACCAAAAAAACTACTGCAAGATGTAGCCACACGTTGGAAATCCACATTTCATATGTTGAATTGGAAACCACTGTAAAGGCAACTCTAGCAATATTAGATGTAGATTTACATATACTTTCATCTAAAGAATGGAAGATATGTAAAGAGTTGTGCCTTGTACTCAAACCATTTGACCAAGTCACAAAATTAGTAAGTGGAGAGAACTATATGTGTGCTTCTATGGTTATTGATTTGAGCAAAGGATTAGCTGATGTATGTGAACAATTGAAAAATAAGCCTTGATTCTTCAGTGAAGGGAACTATTAAAGTTCTACAAGATGGCATAAATTATCGATTCTCTGATTTAGAAATGAGCAATACCTTAAGAATGGCAACGTTCTTGGACCCAAAATTCAAACATTATGGTTTAACCAAATCGTTAGGAGATAAAACAAAAACAAAAGTAATAAACGCAGTTGCACAACATATAAGAAATAACTCAAATAATACTGAAACATTACCTGCAGTTCCAGTTAAAGAAAGAGATGAATGTTGTATTTGGAATAATTGTGATTCAATGACTTCAGTAATAACACCTCAGAGAACAAATACGTCAAAAGCGATCATTGAAGTAATAGGTACATTGATGACAACATATTACCACGAACAAGTGATTCGTTTAGTTGGTGGAGGGATAACAGTTTCAATTACCCTAATTTAAGTATAATTGTTAAAGAAAAATGTGTTGTTGTGTTGGATCATCTGTTCCTTGTGAACGAGTGTTTTCAAAGGCAGGTTTTGTCATTAGTGAACTCCGTAATCGTCTTAAACCCAATAAAGTGAACCAAATTTTATTTTTGAATGACATTTATAAGTTGTTTGAAATGTGAAATATTAGTTATTATTACTAATTATTATTAGTATAAAATAAAAAGTATTTTTATTGATTTTAAATATTTTATAATTATTATTAAACTAGGTAATACTAGTATATAGGTACCAGTTTTGTTTTGTTTTGTTTTTTTAATTTGTACCTATTATTATTAAATAAAGAAGTATAAAGTTTTATTGATTTTAAATATAGTTTTTCAAAAATAATAAATATATGTATGTATTATTAATTAATGAATGCAGACTGTTTTTAAAAATGTTTTACAATAGCATACATTTTCATAGATACCTATTTGTAATGTGTGTACATACATATTGTACATTTGTAATGTATTTGTATGTTAACTTGTCTTTCCGTCTTTAGAGTAACCGGTCGAAGACTCAGAGCGGAATAATTCACAAATTTGAAATTTTCCAAGAATTTGAGTAATTTTTTCTACATATAAATATAATTGATTATAAAAACAATCATGTGTATGTACCTAGGAGAAGCAATGTAAGCAACAGTTCCTCCTCAAAACATAATTTTTTTATATTTAATATAAAGTGTACAATTGTATTGGGTTTGAATTTTGTGTAGTTTCTCATGCTCATGTGGTTTAAACTAAAAAACTTTAAACTATGTAGGGTAAAACAGTGGATTAGGCCTATTGGGGACCACCACATAAAAAAAAACGCACCATGTGCAATGGCCCCACCTAGGGCGGTGTGGAACGATTGCAAAATTTCCATCACGATTTCGATGCTGTGATAATTTTGAAATTTTTTCTGCTCATTGCAAACCATTATTTAAGGTGGTTTAGGGATGGGAAGTGATCTGCATATTTCTACATATAAATATAATTGATAATAAAAACAATCATGTGTATGTAACTTTAGTATTATTTAACTGTTGAACATCTATAACATTTTATTTTTTAAAGTGGTTGAAGAATTGGTAACAGCATGTTGTTTGGTCATTGATGATGATTATAATGATGATGGTGTCAAAAAAATGTAATATACTATATGCGTGTTAGTCTTAATAACTAAATAATTAAATAATTAATACAGGTTTGTTTCTACATTTTAGAGTATCCGAGTGACAGTACTGGTTATGCTGGTGATGATGATAGTGATGATGATAGGTAGTGATGCTGATATTATTGCTGAAATGAACCGTAAGTTTTAATTTATAAACATGAGTTTATTTTATTTCATTGTGTTAAAGTGGAAAACAATCTCAAATTGCTCAATACGTCGGTTCTTATTGATCTGAAATGAAAAAAAAAAATTAAACTAGGTCCACCAACCTGTACATTCCCATTTGGGGAAAAAAAAAAAAAATTTCACATTAACTGAAGTATATAGCCATATAAGTACTTTTTATAAAAGGTTTTCACATTTTGTTTTATACGCACTGGCGTATCTTCTATTTCTGTTATTTGCCTTGTCGATCCATTTGCCGGTGTTGTTGGGGGTGTTAATAATTGGGTTGAATAATTTTTTACATTTTGTGGAAAGCTGCTGTTTTTTAAATATTTAGTTAAGGAATTTATTTGTGTTTTGTAGGAGATAATATTTTTGTTATAACAATTTGGCAGATCGGAAGCAGGGATTTGAAAATTTTGTAATGTAAATTGGTTAAGAGGACGTGATACCCAAAGCGTTACGTATGCAACGGCCGAGAGAATGTGTTATAATGTGTTTTCGGGATCCGTAAGCGCGCGACAACTAAGCCACGCCCACTACTCGCGGTCGGTGGTACTACTGGCTCATTCAGCGCGTCTCGAGAGCGCCGATTATTATTTCATGAACCTTCGACCATGGCATATCTAGGGATGCGCAAAAACGACAATGGTTCGATATATCGATGAATGAAATATCAATGTAAACATTTTATAGGTATCAAAATATCGAAATATCGATATATCGATATAATTTTATATATAATATTAATAGGTCATATGATTTAATAACAAGTAAATATTTTAATATATAATTATGTGTACATTTAATATTATAAATTTTACAACTTGTAAGGTAAAACATTTAGAAAATTAGAAATTCAGAGCCAATACTTATCATCTAATGATTGTAAAAATACTAGTTTTGACAATCTTGAGCCTAATATTCTATTTCTACTTTTAGTCATAATGTTACCGGTCTTACTAAACAATCTTTCTGATGGTACTGATGTGGCTGATATAAAAAGATATTGTCTACCTAGTTTATATAGATTTGGAAAAGCTCCTTTGATATTTTCCCATTCAATAATCGGATCTTCTTTGAGTCCAATAACCGATTTATCCAAATAAGAATGTATCTCATCTCTCGCATGAGATCCGGACTTCGTTTTATTTTTTTGTTTTTTCTCAAGACTCCTGTGTAGGCTCCAAAGATCAATGCAATTATTATTATTAGTAGAATCAACATTATCTTCTACTTCATTTTCCCAGATCTCATCGTTGTTTGCAAATGGGTTTTGTGCCTCGATCAAATTTACTAGTGTATTTAATATTTTTGATTTGGCTTGTGGTTCTATAAAATATATATCTTTAAACCTTGGATCAAGTATAGTGGAAATAGATAATATTGGGTTATATTCCAACTTCCCACACCGGTATGCAAACTCTTCCAAAAGTTTAATTTGCAAATTTTTTGCAATATTAAAAACTGGTTTCTCGTTTTTAATTAAATTTTGAGTGCACACTATAACAGGGATGATCTTACTTGACATGACATACTTTTCCGTTGATGGCTCCTTTGTTAGTTTCTCAATTATCCCAAGTAGCAAACAGATTTCTTTTAAAGACTGAAGATCTCGTGCCGACAACATTTCCGGAACTTCATTACCCGTTCGAGAAAGTAAAATATTTGAAATAATAGTTGACATTGAAATAAATCGTTCTACCATGTAAAATGAGCTGTTCCAGCGCGTTTGTACGTCAAGTATTAATTTTCTGCATTTCCCTTCGGACACTCCTGTAAATTGAACAATAAAAAAGGAATTATTATTTTGTCATAAAATTATTAATAATTGTATTTGTTACCTTCTGACTTTTGAACACTTCTTAATTCATCACACGCCTTGGTACTTTTTTTAAAGTATTTAACAATACATCTAACTTTATGCAGTAATTGGGGAACTCCTCCACTTTTAACTCTAGTTGTGGCATCTTCTTCTTGGGTCTTACTAATACCTTTTTCCACAATTAAATTAATAGTATGTGCTAAACATGCTAAATGTCGTTTTTCTCCAAATTCGGAAACTACTGCTTTTTTTATGTTAGCCCCACTATCTGTTGTTACAGCCACTACATTATTTTTTTCAATGCCCCATTCTGATACTGTATTAACAAAAACTTCACCTAAATATTTGGAAGTATGACTTTCATCTAGTTCGGTTACTCCAATGACTCCTAAAATAACATTAATACCTTATTATTCCGAATAAATAAAGAAATATATACGTATATCACCAGAAATATTATGAAATTTTACCAGATTCAATATTAGTTCCGTTAAAAAAATGAACAGTTATTCCAATATAACTTCGCATTTGCATGGTTTCAGTCCAAACATCAGTTGTCAGTGATACATTTTTAACTTGGATAAGCTTGTTTCGAAATTCAGCTGCTAATACGCTAAATTTTTCGTCTACTCTTCTTTTAACTGTGTCACGACTGGGAATTTTATAAAGTGGACATATTGTACTAAGTAAATTTCGGAAACCAGGACTTTCAATTGTAGCAAACGGGACATTTTCTTTACAAAAATAGTATACCACTGCATCGGTAATTTTTACAGTATTTGAACCATCGGCTAAATTAATAATATTATATAATTATTATACACACCTATATATTATTTTCAAAATTATAACTAAAAGTATCTATATTTTATCGTAAAAACGCGTAGAAAAAGTCTTTATTTTAGATATTTTATATATCAAACTTTTTTAAGTTGTGTTATATCTATGTAATATAATATATACCTACTAGGTATTATAAATATATTATTATTATTCGTTAAAATATAAAAATATATTTAAATAGGTAGAAAAATAAAGTAATATGAATACTAATTACCTGAAAATGAAGAAATGTTGTACATCATATTCGGCAAAGTTTGCTGTTTTTTAGTAGGATTCGATTGATCGAAGGCAATAAATGTAGATTCCCTTATTGACGAGTCACTTTTATGAAAATCCTTAGTAGAAAAAAATTTTAAATATAATCATAACAAACGTATAATTTATTGTTAGGTGTAATTTAGATTTTTAAAGTTAACTATTATCATTATTGAAATTATATTAATTATAATTAATATAAATAATAATTATTATACCCGTGAACATCCTGCGCCATCATTAATTAATGTAGCTGACGATGAAGATGGCGAAAGTTCTGCTTCAGTCGCAGGCGGATCATCAATATTAAATGCATTTTCATTTTCACTTGCAATTTCTTGTGTTTCTGATATTTTTTTCAAGATTAGATTATTAGTAACTAATATAAGTACCTACATAGTAAGTTTTAAATGTTGATACCAAAGTATTTTTATGCATATAAATAAATAATAATTAATTAAAAATGTTTCTAATTTTATAAAAATATATATTACAATTATTCATGGACGCCCAAAATAATAAATATTAAAGAGCTACTATAAAATTATACAATATTTCAATACTAGGTAATAAAATATAAGTGTTGATTTAAAGAATCGAAATCTGTCGTATTAAATATTAAAATTTGTGCTGCAAAATATAATACTCCAGGCAATACATTTTTATTATTATTCAGTATATTATATTTTATTTTTCAATACCTACTATTAAAATTAAAACTATTAAAATTTTTCAAATAATTATTTATATATTTAATAATACTTTGTAAATATTATTTAAGAATATAAACCACGTCATATCCTCATAACAATTTTATTTTAAATTAATTTTTATTGCACTTGGACTTGATATTTAACTTTAATTTTTACTTAATTGTTATACTTACCATTTTTTTTACCCAATGTTTGTTTTTTATTAATATTTTCCAATGTAGATTGCGATTTTCTTTTTTTATCTCTTCCTTTTTTACCCTCGGTTATTAAATGGCTTCTTAAATTTTGAACACCACCATTGGGTGTTTTATAAACTTTTGTACAGATATTACACTTATACAAATATTGACCTGACTTTAGTGAAATATTGTAGAATACGTGAAGAACTCCACTTTGAAATTTCATTAACATCAGTAATATTTAAACTCATTTTTAAAATTTGTTTTCC